GGCATCCTCTTCATGCTTGACAGAAATTGTTGCTGGCTGTACCAGTTCAAGTGGAGCTAACAGTGCTCACCCAGATGTTCCAGGCAGCTGATGCAGGCGGTGTTTGTGTATCGCTGAGTGGGGACTGGCAGTTGGGATCTTGGTAGGCACAGGATATAGAAGGGGTTGGGGAAACCGAAGGATTTTAAACTTACTTGTCACTGTTTGGCTTAGGCACGTTTTTGCACTCATGTAAAAAAAAAGTTTGTGGTGTGAAAGAGGAAGTCCTAAGAGTAGTCCAAAAGCATTTACTATCTGTTAGCAGTACTTGAAAGTAAGATGTGTTTAAGAAGGGCATCTTTTACCAGAAATCAGTGTTTGGAGGCAGTTTTGTTAGAGTGCATCCTCTGGTTTGATGTCTCTGTATGATGTAAAATATTGCTATTTGGTCTGCACAACTCTACAAGATCTTGGTACTACATTTTTATTTTTTTTTCCTTCATAGCCAACTTTAGTTCACTGTTACTGTGAGAAATACAGGGATTTTATTTTTTTTCCTGCGGTATTACTTAGGGACTTGCTTTAAGATTAATTATCTCCTGATTTGCTTCTAATGAATGGTATGAGTAGATTGTCTATTTCTACAGCCATCTAGATGACGATACATTTCTTTCTTTCATCCTTTATTGTGACTTACAGCATAATAGATATTAAATGTCACATTCATTCTGTGACTCTTAAGACTCATAAAAAGTAAAGACTTCAGTTGTAAAGCAATAAATTGACCTTAATTTACTTCAGCCCTAAAATGTTTTTTTCTCTGTATGTATGAAAAGTTTTGGATGCTCTTTTGTCTTTGGACATTTGCAGTTACCCTGATTGTTCTACAACCAAATTGGAGTACATAGTTTGTTAAGAAGCTTTTAGCATTAATAGTAGTGAATATCAAGTTTGTAAATAGTTGTCCTTTGTATGTCTGAATACTTTTAAAAACAGATACTACATATTTAAAATGCAGGGATTGAGAGTAATGCTACAAAGCAGAAAGATAGCTATTTTTACTTCAAGTTGCATACTGTTTCTTATGAGTTTTAGCATAAGCTTTTGCCATGGTTTGAAATTTTGGCTTGTATTCCATTTGGAGCAGCTGTGCACGGATTTCATCTAAGAACAACTGTGGTAAATGCTGTGTTCTGAAAGTGTGGCCATCTCTAGAGCCAGGTCTTTCAGGTTGGTTTGTTTTACTAGAAGCATTCTGTTGACTTTTCTGGAATGTTTTGCAGATAATGGGCATCAATGGATACCAACTGACTTAATATGCAGTACCTTCACAACATATGCCAACTCTACAGGTTTCTGTTTCCTTTTTTGGAGAACTTCTAATGTTTGTTCTTGTTTTGTCTTGTTTTTCCTGGAACAGAACTCATACCAGAGTGATTACATGCATTTGGTATTTACTTGGTTTCTTGAAAAGCTTTTGGCAATACTGGATTCCACATCTTTTTCTGTTGGTGTGCTTGCCTCCAATACTCTTCTTGAGATGCAAAATGAAGATGCTATGTACAAGAATAGTGTAAAGGAAATTGAACTGAGATCCTGTCTCTTACATTAACGGTGTTTTTTAACGTGTGTTGTTAGCAATCCTTAGCAGTTCATACAGCTTCCTATTCCCATTTTCAGTGGCTTGGAACTTTATGGACGATGCTGATTGCAGAGTGCTCTCTCAAGCTGTCAGGTGTATTTGCAAATGTGGAATTAGATATTCTTCAAGTATTTGGTCTTCAAAATTATCTTAATATCTTTTAGTTATTTTTCTCCAAGCTGTTCTAAAATGAACATTTTGCATCCTTCAAATAGATTTTATTTGAAATTATTAATTATATTTAATCTTTTGTGAGATCTCTTGATTATGCCCTGTGGATTAACAGCTCATCCCAAGCTGGAGTTCCCTGTGCTCAGCTGTATGAATGTGCTTTTGGAAGAGACGGAAATATGTGTCAGTGGAGAGCATGCAATACTGGAAGCAAATGTGGTGCTTCAGTTTCATTAACTTCTGTAAACGCAGATTTCAGTTTTCAGATCTTTGCAAGCATTGTCAAGTATCTTCCTGAAAAGGAGATACTGCAGAAGGTCAGCTGCTGCAATGCTAGTGAAGTATAAGGAAGTAAAGCTGTGAAGGCCTGAACTGGTGGAGAAAAGGACTTCTATGAAAACAAAGCATTCTTGTTTTTCTTTCTTAAAAAAATTGGCTGGTAGTGCATGAGCCTTGGAACTTAGAATTAAACCATCAGTTAATGTTACGTATTTATGGTACTGGGCTGTAACTTTGTAGTGACTGTACTTTCAATTTTAATGTTCTTAATCTAAGTTATGAAAAAGACCAATTAAGAATGCCCATCTATCAGTGGTTACAATCAGTTCAATATTTCAGACATGCTTATGCACATGAAAGAAGAAAAAAAATGGGATTTTAAAATGATTTTCTCTGTAAGCAACTGTATGAAACTATTTCATAAGCTAGGTCTTTAATCCAGTGCTAACAGTGCCTTCAGTGCGTGGACAAATACAGACAAGGCAAAGAAATTTGACTGTTGTCATGACCATTGTTTAATGCATAGTTTACAAAACAAATAAGTAGCAGTTTTTTGAAACTGGGTTTCTGCATTCTTGGATCGTGCAATAACTTGCATGATTCCTCGTCTTCAGTGCTCCTTGGTCATCTGCAGCTTGGGAATAATACAGCTGGAGACGTGGGCTCCCAGAGCACGGCGCTGTTTGGGGTGGTTTGGCTGCTGGTGTGTGGCTGCTTTCTGATTAGCAGATTTTGAGTAAATGAGCAAATGCTCACTTGCTATTTTTAAACTTGTACTGTAAATAACTTCACTTTTTTCAGGGCGTCTTATGCAGTATTTTTGCATATCAATGCTGTGTCGAAGTGTTGCTGGATAGTAGCGTGGAAGTCCACCCTATTTCATTATGAGTACTAAAAAGGAAAAAAAAAAATACAGCAACAGAAGCATTTCTATTAGAAAAGCCTATTTTTCATGTTTAATCAGTTTTTGTGACAGCATAATGATGCGTCGATGTTGGTCTGTTCAGATGTGCAAGTATCTGCATGATGCTCCTTAATGCCGTTTGAAAATGATCTGCAGTGTTGCAGGCATCCTAGATAGAAACCATTCTTATCTATGTCTCTATTAACCCTTTTAGCTCATTTCTTCATCTGGCACTTGGCTTTCCTGTTTAGAAGTCCTGAAGTCTGGCTACGTTTAAGCTAGGGGAGTAAGAGCAGCAGGAATCAAAATGTATCCCTCCTTGAGCTGGGCTGCTCCCATGGCAACGTGCAGCTCTGTGGTGCATGAATCCAGCCCTGCCTGCTCTGAGGGAGATTCTCTAAAAATCAGCTCTTGAAAAGGGAACGATTGTTATGAAAATCACTGCTATGTCAGTGTGCATCCAGGTGTTTATTGCATTTTTTTGTTTGTTTCTTCTTTCGTCATAAAGACTTGGCTGTGCAGCACGGTGATTTTTGCTAGTGCAAGAAAAAAATTCAGCTGTAGGACTGGCAGTCTCTGACATGTGCAGCGTGGGGTGTTCCCGTGTTCGCTGTTGCTGCAGATGCTGTTGGAAAAAAACCTGCTTTACTGCTTTAATAAAAGCGGCTTCCCTTTGGGAGGCTGTGTTATTAAACATAGGTGACATATTGCTGGGAACGAGTTCTGGATAAGCCAGGGTAAAAAGTCACCGCTCTGGAGATAACAAAGGTGTGCAATTCAATGGTTTTTTTGTTTGTTTTGAGGTGCCAGTTTTTAGAGATGGTAATATGCTAAATTGGTCTTTTATTGCTGTAGTGCAGCTGTGGCTCAGCCTCGCCCATTTTGTTTAATATGGGAGCCATAGGCTGGTACTGTTTTCCATGCTGAAGCTTATAGGTGAATCCTTCTTCCGCTAAATGGATTGATTAACAGTTACATTCTCCTGCTGGAATATACATAGATTATTTTGAAGGCTGAGCATTTTCGTTGAGGCTATTCTATCTAGTGATTACAGATCGATCTGTTTCTTGCTCGAACGTGTACAGAGCTGGAGTGGCAGAGAGGAGCACACACCCTGGAGCACCGTCGGTCGGTCTGTCTAATCTTTCAGAGAAGGATGGGGATCGTGGCGAATGCCGTGTGTGGGAATGAGTTTCTTTGCATGAGGGATTTCCACCTTTCCCTCTGGCCGTGGCTCCCAGCAGATGATGTCACCTCGCAGCTCATTGGCTCCGCCTGCACCTAGTGCAGGGAAGGCAGAGAAAGATGCCGGCACAAATCTCAGTGGTGGATCTCGGGTGTTGCGAGCAGGTTCCAATAGCATCTTGGATTAGCATTTAGAATCGACTGCGTGTGGCCATGTGAGGTGCTGGGTCCTTCCTGGGGCCAGGGGATTTAAGAGCTATCAGAGGAATGAGGCGGCTGATCTGCAAGCGGATCTGTGATTGTAAGTTGAAAAATCTGGGTGGAAGGGAAGAGACAGGGAGTGCTGGTAGACACATTGTGGGAGGATGTGTAGCAGAAAAATGCATGCACGAGTAAAAGAAGAAAAGGGAGAAGCATTTGTCTTCGGTAGAATGCAGTGATAAAAAATGGTATTTCCTTGGGGGGAAATATATGCAAGTGGGCAAAAATATTTGATCTGTGCTAAGATATTTTCCCTTTGTGGGAATGAATGTGAAGGATTCATTTTTAGGTGCAGTGTTGTAGCGATTAATTATGAAGGCAAAATGATATTTTATGAGTACTTGCCATGTAGAAAATGCTGTTTATTTCTGATTGTCATTTTATTCGTAGGTCACAGACAGAGGACAAAGTGATAATACATGTTTTTATTTATGCATTTTTGCGGTCGGTGAAATATTAAGCAGAACAGACAATTGAGAACTAAATATACATTCATTCTTTTATTTTTATATATATATATATATATATGTATGTATGTATGTATATATATATATTTCAATTTAATGTATCCTTTTCTAGACAAAAGCTTCGATGATGAAGAGTCGGTGGATGGAAATAGGCCATCATCAGCTGCTTCAGCCTTCAAGATTCCTGCACCTAAAAAGCCAGGAAATCCTTCCAACAGTGCAAGGAAGCCGGGTTCTGCTGGTGGGCCGAAGGTTGGAGGTAATGTAAAGCTATTCAGTCTCTAATGGGTGTTGCCAGAAACCTTGCTAAAGCAAGCACAAAACAGAACTTTGAAAGGTGATGTTTAATTCATGACTGCAGTATTCTTGCAGAACTGAAAACATAAGGGACCCTCTTTTACGTAATTATTCGTATTTAAAGATGTGTGCATGTCTGTCTGCTTTATGATGTGCAGTTGGCTTATAGAGGCCTTACAAATTAAAAAAAAAAATATCTGGACAAAGTGATTGTTTTGGTAGAATGAATGTATGCATGCCCTTTTCATGGAATCCCCATGTCCATCACAATATATACAATAAATACATGGTGAAACTCCGTAGTAAATGTATGTAAGTGAATTTTTTACTGCAGGTGTGCTCTGTTGTGCGAGGCTCAAAAGGGCTGGTCATCAATTGTATACTTCAGCAGAGATGTATGGTACAGCTCAGTGACTTCTACTACTCCATAAACTGCCAGAGTAATGTGAAACTAATTGTAAAAAATACAAATGAGAGCCAACACTGTTGCCAGGATTTTTTGCATGGTAGATTTCAAAGTGTAATAATGATGATGCTTGCTAATTATAATCACTGAATGTGGACATGCTTTTTCTTCTTTTTTTTTTTTTATAATAGCTGGGAGGGGCGGAATCTAACAAGCAACTGTTCACTGCTATTTAAAAAAAAGTGACATCTTTTTTGATAGTTTATACACACATTCAGAAAGATGTGTAAGTAAGTGGAAATATACCATGCTTTGGGTATGGTACTTTATAAATAATTGTTTCTTTTGGTAAAGAGTTTTTCTGAGAGTCATTTTTCCATGATCCTGTTCATGGAGCATTCTATTGGGTGAACTCTACAGCTAAGATAAAATTTGAACTAAAATACGCATACCAAACAAGCTGCTGTATCCGTTTGCCTGTCAGTAAGATAGAGCTTGTGTTTTGGCAATTCATTGCATCTCTAATGTGATCTTCAGACTTCCTAATACATTGAAGAGATTCCCGTAGGGCGAGATCAGCACTGCCATAGTACAACTCACAATTAATAGCAGTATGAATCAGGAAGTGCCACTTAAAAGACTTTATAAGGGAAAACTGTCTTTGAAATTAACAGTTTGTATTTTGTTGCTATTATTTATTTCTATATCTCTACAACCAAGAGTCTAGAACTAGGTTCTTACAGAAAACCATTAGTTTGGTGTTAGAACCATTGCTTCTGCTTCTTTTGAGAGACAAAATAGAGCTGTCACCATTAAATGAATGAATAAAGGACTCAGTCAAAGGACATGACAATGAAAAAGGACAATTATTCAAACATTTTATTTCCAGAACCATTAAATAAATAAATAAATAGATGGGAGGACTTGAGATCAGAGGAGGCATATGATTCAAACATCTTTCCAGAACTATCTGTTGATGAGCTCTCAACTCATGAAGCTGTAACTGGTGCTGCTGTCCCCGCTGCCTGCAGTGGGTCCCACCTGGAGTGCCGGCCCATCCCTGCATGTGCCTGGTGAGAGCTGCAGGTGCCATTGGGGCAGGACGGAGCTGCCCCTGCAAGGCTGCTGCAAGGGATAAGGTGAGGAGGGCCCAGGGAGCTGCTGCTCTGCTGCCTGTGGGTGCTGGGGAAGTTCCTGCTGTGGTGGGCCATTTGTAAACCTGTGTCCCGTGTCAGTTGGAGGAGCAGAAGTGAGCAGCTGAGGCTGCTACTTTGATGGCAGCAGGGAGGGGACCAGAGGCTGGCACATTTCCCTCTGTGCTGCTGCAGCAGGGCTGGCAGGGAAGGAGCAGCACTGGTTTGGGTGTTGGCTTTTTTAGGGCACTTCAGTCATGTGGGCCTCATGGGGAGTCTTACCATGTTTTCAGTCTGAAGAACTTCGTACTTCCCAGTACTTGGAGTTTAAAAATTTCTTCATTGATGACAACAGAGTTTCTACCATGACTCCGCCAACTCATCTTAAATTGGTCGCTTTCTACCAGTTGCAGAATTTCTGTGGAAAGCTGGGGCTGAGAAGATGTTGGCTTTGCTCTTTTCAGAAGAAATGTGAGGGAAACATGTGGTTTGTTCTTCGTCTGAAAAATTAGTGAATCCTTTTCTTCTTTTATCAATGCTGCAGCAGCATCCCCAGTTGTTCCTTGTTCATCCTGTCCTGGAGGATGAGAAGAAGGGGAGCCTGAGACATCATCTACCTTCTCTGGCTCAGAAACAGAAGATGTTTCTGATTCAAAAGGCTCAATTTTAATTTTTCTTTTCTTGATTTGACTCAAGTTCTCACATAGAGGTATTTCTGCGACAAGCCAGTTTTTGCCCTGCCAGTTTGCAACCAATGGTGTGAATAGGAGTTGCACAAACCGTTTTTGTTTCCTGTACTTTTTTCCCTCCTTTTTAAAAAAATTTAGGAAGCAAGCTAACAAAATCAGTGACATTCTTCAAGTCTTTTAAGTCACCCCCATTCTACAGGATCAGGTGCTTCTTCAGACCTAGCTTTTCCTTGTCAGGAGATGGTATCTGGATGCAGGTCTCTACTGTATGCTAAGTCTGAGGACACCACTAAATTGCAGGAGCTGTTCACTCCCTGGAGGCAGGGAGGGAAGAGAGATCTTAAGAAATATGGTGGCTGGACAGTCACCAAGGGCATGAAGTTTAACAGGAGCAAGTGCCAAATTCTGTGCCTGGAATGGGGAAGCCCAGGAAATATATATAGTCTTGAGGACAAGAATCAGGAGAGCAGCCCCACAGAAAGGGCCTGGAGGTGTTCTGGTTCAAGGCAAGTTGAATCTGAGCCAGCATGCTTTGATAGCCCAAAGGGCCAACTGTGCCCAAGGGTGGTGCATCAGGCCCATGCTGCCAGCCGGGAGAGGGAAGGGGTTGTCCTGCTGTGCTCTGTGCTGTGCAGCCTCCCCCTCAGCACTGGATTTGGGCATTGCAATCTGAGGACATGAAAATGCTTGAGAGCATCCAAAGGAGGGCTATGGAGATTGTGAAGGGTCTGGAGGGGATGACGTGAGGAAAAGTTGTGGTCCCTCGATTTGTTCAGCCCAGAGCAGAAGAGCTGAGTGATTCTATTCTCAAAGGAGCTGTTGGTCGCAGGAGCCTCACAGAGCTGACCTCTGCTCTCTGGTGACAGCAACAGGGCCTGAGGGAATGGCATGGAACTGCATCAGGCTGAGGTACAGGAGTTCTTCACCAGGGGGCGAGTTGACACTGAAAGAAGTTTCACAGGACAGTGGACACTGCCACAAGGTGCTGGATTTCGAGAAGTGTTTGGGCAGCACTCTCAGGCATAAGGTTTGTGTTTTGGGTGGTCCTGTGTGGAGCCAGGAGTTGGACTCAGTGATCGGGTGGCTTAGGGTTGTGATTGGCAGCACAGAGTCCAGCTGGAGGCCTGTATCAGGTGGTGCTCCTCAGGGATTGGTGCTGCATCCAGTCTTGTTTAACGTCTTCATTAATGATCTTGATCAAAGTGTCCACCCTCGGCAAGTTTGTTGATGGTACGAAGCTAGGAGGAATGGCTGACATTCCAGAAGGCTGTGCTGTTACTCAGTGAGACCTGGACAGGCTGGAGAGTTGGGTAGTGAGTAACCAGGTGAGGTTTAACAAGAGCAACTTTAGTCTTGCACCTAGGGAGGAATGACTGCATGCACCAGTACAGGTTGAATGATGATGACCTACTAGAGAATCATGGAATCACAAGGTTGGAAAGGACCTCAAAGATCATCTAGTCTAACCATCTTCCCATCACCATTGCTACCACAAGCTACTAAACCTTATCTTGTAGCTCCTCATCCAGATGCCTCTTGAACGCTGCCAGGGACGGCAACTCCACCAGAGAGTAGCTCTGTAGAGAGGGACGTATAGAAGTCCTGGTGGACAACAGTTTGGCCATGAGCAGCAGTGTGCCCTGGTGGCAAGGAAGACCAATGGCATCCTGGGGTGCATTAAAAAGAACTTGGCCAGCAGGTGAAGGGAGGTGATCCTCCCACTCTGCTCTGCCCTGGTGAGGCCTCACAAGTTGTATTGTGTCCAGTACAAAAAAGACAGGGATCTCCTGTAAAGAGTCCAGCAGAGGACCACAAAGATGATAAAGGACTTGGAGCATCTTTCTTATAAGGAAAGGCTGAGTGACTTGAGTCTGTTCAGCCTTGAGAAAAGATGACTTGGGATCTGATCAATGTCTGTAAACATCTAAGGTGTGGAAGCAAAAGGATGAGGCCAGACTCCTTTCAGTGGTACATGGCTATAGGACAAAGGGAAATGGCCACAAACTGAAGCATAGGAAGTTCCACCCAAATGTGCATTAAGATCTTCACAGTAAGAGTGATGGAGCGCTGGAACAAGCTGCCCAGGGGGCTTGTGCGTTCTCCTTCTCTGGAGATGTTCAAGACCTGCCTGGATGCCTACCTGTGCAACCTGGTCTAGGGAGCCTGCTTTGGCAGGGAGGTTGGACTAGATGATTTCTAGAGGTCCTTCCAACTCCTACAACTCCGTGATTCTGTTATCCTTGTGGGTCTCTTCCAACTTGGGATATTCTGTAATTCTAAAGTGTGGGTTTTTCTGCAAGCAAGACTAGTATATGTAGTACCAGGACTGAATAGTTAGAATTACACTTAAGATTATACTGGAACAAATGGTAGTTGATGTCCTCACTGCCACTTTAGTAACATAGATGTTTGTTAATGTATATTTGCTTTTACATGCGGACTTTCACAAGCTTTATAGTGAAAGCCTGGGGATAGGAGGATAGGGAAGGCGAAATTAGAACAGAATAAATGCTTAACAAGTTTATCATTTGATCTAGAAATTCTGTAGAGCATAAGCTAATATGTTTTTTCCCTTTTTTGTATATTGGGAAACATTTTTAAAAAATAATAATTGGGCTAAGGACAATAATTAAGCGTGCTGAAAATTAGAGCCTTTGGATCCTTGTTTGCTTTATACCTCCTTCTTTCAACTCTCTGGAATACTGGGCAGTGTTTACCTACATATCCATTTTCC